TATATATATATGTATTTCTATATTATTCTAAGAATTATCTTTTTATTACATATTTATTATAAATTATAATATATATATATCTTTTTTAATATTATTTCTTAAGTAAATTTTTTTAATGATTGTAGCTTACAGTATTTATATCTGCAGAATGCACTCCTGATCTTGTCATCAAAGTTCTCTCTATCGTATTATTGCTTATTATGTATGCAATTGAATATAATTCGTTTCGAATTAACGCTCAAGCTGTAAGTTAATTTTTTCATTATTTTGCATTTAATAATAAAACATCGAGATAAAAATGAATCTTTATACACACAACAATCCTTTTCAAAATTTATAACGAAGCGAATGCCAAAGTATTATTGTTATAATAGGTAAGGTGTTTATTTGAGCAACTTCAGCACATCTGTAACGAGCTAAGAGATGAGAACGAAGTCGCTATTATAAAAAAATATGGGAATAACGCGAAACGTTACGCGGCTATACTTATGCGTAAGACAGTGTGTTTTGATATTTCGTATATATTGCATAATGAAATGGATTACAATCATGATAGAAATTAAATTAATGATAAACATTATAAATTAGCCTGCTTAACTACTTTGCTATCTAATTTAAATACATTTGAATGATATATTTCTTTATTAGAATGTAGAAATATACATATAATTAGAAATTATATTCAAAGTATGGTTATAAAAATTTATAATAAAATATGAATAGAACGCTAATATTTATTTAACTATAATATGCTTTATTTTAATCATTATATTTTTAGTAAAAAAATTTTGTTGAAAAAAAAACGACATTTTGCAATCACTTACTTTGCAAAAATACCGCAAGCGATTGCATGAAATTAGTAATTTACACAACATGATATATTGGAGGATAAAAAAAAAATTATATTTATTAAGAGTATTATAAAAGAATATCAATTATTTTTTTACACATTAATTTCTATATTTTTTTAAATAAATATATATTGTTTAGAGAAAAGAGAGATAATAATAAAGACAGCGTTGAGAAAGAGGGAGAGAAAGAGACAATTTTTATATTTATTCCAATTATATTTTCATACTTACAATTTTTCACATGTCCACTCTCTTGAATTAACTAAAATACACTTTTTCTGGAACTTTATCCATCCTAAATAATTGACTAATAATAATAATAAAATAATAAAAATAATATATATATATCTTTTTTTTCTATATTATGATAAGAATTATCTTCTTATTACATATTTGTTATAAATTATAGTGTATATAAAAGCAGCTGTGATTATTACATACTAACAATATAATCAATCAAATAAAAAATATTTTTTTTGACATCATTTTTTAAATAAATTTTTAGATGCCACAAGTATAAAAAGCTTTAAATAATAAATAGCATATATTTTACCGCCGATAATTTTATAGCTGATATGATGATACGTAAAACGGAATGTCACCTTGCATAAAAGACAAACGTATCTTATAAATGCGCTCCTCGCAATGAAAGAACGGCGACGCGTTGAGAGAAAAAGTTTATTTTAATCATTATATTTTTAGTAAAAAAATTTTGTTGAAAAAAAAACGACATTTTGCAATCACTTACTTTGCAAAAATACCGCAAGCGATTGCATGAAATTAGTAATTTACACAACATGATATATTGGAGGATAAAAAAAAAATTATATTTATTTTTTAACATATCTTTAGTGCTTTACATTTGCATCACAATTATTGTGTTTTTACTGCCAATTTTGCCGCGCCTTCTCGGTTTTGTTCTGCACATAAACGCAACACAACCACGCGTGATGCAACAGCTCATGCCTAAATACATTATCGACCAAGAAAAACATTTCTATTTAATTTTGCTATACATGTACGCAGCCTTGTTAATAGGAGCGACAGCACTAGTTGGAATAGGAATGATGCTTCTATCATATCTCAAACATGCCTGTGGAATGTTTAGAATCGCCAGGTGAAGCATTAAATGTAGAAAATAATCTAAAGATTCTAATTTTTTTTAAATAAAATTTGATGTATATGCTTTGTTGTTATTTAAAATTAATTTATATGGGAAAAAAGAATTTTACTATGACAGCAAAAACTTCATTGTTATTGCAACTTATTGTAAAAATACGACTTTGCTGACGAAAGTTGTTACAATAATTTAAAACATATACTGTCAGAAAATTCTTTTCCTTTGTGTATAAGAAAGACACATATAATTAGAAAAAAGAAATTATTTATGCAGTTACCGCATCGAGAAGGCAATGACAATAACGATGCGGACAAATACTAGACTAGAGAACGAGATTATAATTTATAAAGAAATAGTTTATGCCGTAGATATTAATTGCAAAGCTATCAAGTTAGTATATTTATATTTAATAATAATTATAAAATGTGATATATATATATAAAAGAATGTTTCTATTCTTTTTTAAGGTTTTCCTTATTTTTATTTTACAGCTTTCGACGATCACATATTCTTTTGATATCAATAGGTGTGATTTGTTTGACTCTTAATCTTTATGCAGTGAGTTTCTCTCGTGTTATAAAATTTATTTCTTACGAGCTGTGTCTTACATTGCACGATCATCAGGATTGAAAAACATATTTTCTACTCTCATGTATTTAAAAACAAGATTAACTATAAAATATATATAAAGATTGATCGCAACATTGTGTTGTAGATTGCTGTGAATGCGTCGCATGGAGCCGATGTTGAACAATTATTATTACACTTTCTAATTGCAGTAATCATATTTTTATACTTGTTCTTGGCCAATTATGCCGGACAAGAAATTACAGATCACAACAATCACGTATATTCCACTGCGTAAGAAAGATATAGATTACATGAAACATTTTTCACGAATTTTAACAAGGATAAAGTTTGATACATATGCTTCACACATTTGTAGGCTGAAGATTATTGCATTTTATCAAATTCTTGATCTCTTGCCATTACTTTTTAGGTACACTGTTCGATGGTACACCGCGTCTGTACATATACAGAAGCTGATACTATTTATTTTGCAAAGGGGTAGCAAAACTTTCAGTCTGAATTTTGGCGGAGTAGTTTCATTATCTCTAGAGCTTTTCGCTGCGGTAAAAATTATTAATTATGCATAACGTATAACATACATACGGCATATCATCACATAATACGTTTAATATATGACGGAAGTTAGACAAGATGTATTTTATTCCAGCTAACGAAGGCATCGTTATCCTATTTCACCGTTATATATTCTATGCAGCAGTAAAGCAAAAAATAGATCATACAATTGTATACTATGATTTGTAAGTAGATGCACCATTGTTGAATCTTGTTAGATAGAAAATAATAATATCTGTTCTTTTAAATTGTACCGCGGCCGCTGTTTATATATATAAAGCAAGAAAAGAATGAGAAATATATTACTTGACTTATATACTAAATCAATTATATCACGTTTTAACACATGAACTATATATTTTTCACAATAAAATAAAGTTACAATTAATCACGTATCTTTAATACACACATAAGTATCTATACAGATTTAAATAAAATATTATTCAAATAAATTTGCATGTATTAAATAATATATATCGTAAAAAATGTTAATTTTATTTTCTGTCGATGTTGAAATTTTTTAAACAGCCGAAAGAACTATAAATCTATAGTAATTTAATTTCTGATAATCATATTTACTCATTTTTTATATCACACGCTACTATAAGAGGAAACATATGTATATATAAAGACATGTGTGCTTTAATATAACTTGAAAAGTTTTCGAGTTAATTATTTGCTATCATTGTATCAAGCTTCTACATTGCAAATCGCAAAATGTTTTGCATTCTATTGGCGAGAGAACTATGTAACTAATATCTCGGCATGTAAGCTGACGTTTTTCTAAAGAAATAAACATCGCGCGAATGTATATACAATCGAATGAAACACATGAAACTGTTCGCGCTGAGAAACGACAAGTACGCTTGCGCAGACTTCGATCGACAAATTGTTTCAAGAATGTTTTTCTGTGGGAAATATAATTGCGGTAAATTTTTCTCTCGGCGTCGAATCTATCGATCGCGTAATCGCCCCGTCGCTTTCCGAGCCGAAGACATGTAATTACGATATACTACGTATATATTTCGATTATATGGTATTTTGTCTACCACCTTGTATTATCACTTATACTGAATTAGGCAATTTACGCTATAATTTACGCTAAAAGTCGGAAATTCTACAATATATTCCGTTCTTCGAAAGGAGGGGATACGCGACCCTTCGTCAACCTTCTGGCAGTCAGACGTGCCTCGACTCTCGCAAAGTGATGTTCTGTATAATAACTCGGTATTTTATTTTCCAACGAATTCTTTTGCTTGTGGTTGGTTTATGGCCTTATCAGCGATCAAGGCTTGTTCAATTTCAGTTAAACTTGTGTTCTGGTCTTCAAATTAGCTTTATTATATTCCAGGTATATCCATATTTTTAATCATATTTGTATTTATAACAATATTTAAACAAATATGATGCAGATATATTTATTATTATAATAAAACATTAATTTAATAATTAAAAATAATAATTCTAAGAGATGTTAAAAATGAATAGAATTTGAATATTTTTTATAATTATATATTTGGTTTTAATTATTTATTTTAATTTTTGAAGTAAAATAATTCAGATGGTAGGCAAGACCGGATATTTGACAATCATTAACTTTGCAAACGTACCGGACATAGGGAAGTGGTTGCAGGATAATGAAATTTAAAATGTACACAATACATGATATTTACGAAAACTAAAAAACGATAATCCATATGTCTACATTTTTAAAATATACTTAGTAATATACATTTGCGGGTCAATTATTGTTGGTTCAATTACAATTCTTCCGGGCATTCTTGGTGTTGTTCTGCATATAAACGTGACACAACCACGTGTGATGAAACAGCTCATGCCTGAGTACTTTACTGACCAAGAAAGTCATTTTTACTTAATCTTGCTGTATATGGACGTAGTTCTTTTTATAGGAGCGACGACATTTATAGGATCAGAAATGATGTTTGTATCATACTTTATATATGTATGTGGAATATTTAAAATTGCCAGGTGAGAAGCAATAAATATATGAATTAATTTAAAGATGTTGATTTTAAACAAGATTTTGCATTGTTCGTCATCTAAAAAATATTTATGCGAGGAAAAATAATTTTATTATATCAAGCAAAATCATCGCTGCTATTGTAAATGGAATGTGAAAATGATTATAGTTTGCTGTCACAGTAAATTTAATATTGTATAAAGTAGAAAATTATCTTTTTTTTTTGTTTTAATAAAATAGAAAGACTTTATTTATTTGTAAAAACATAACTTTTATACTAAGACGAAACGATTTATTTTTAACAAATGCATTTGGTTGTTGCAATAAAACCTTTTTTGTTTTGTTGATAGAATAAGAATCAATTTGTTATTCAATTTGTTGGCGAGATAATTTGCAGATTATATAATATTTTTAACAAATTAATATATTAAAGAAGCTTTGTTTATTTTTATATTATATATACATGTATTGACGAAATTTGCTGTAACAGTATGAAATTTATATTAATAAGAAATCTTTTTATTTTGTGTAGACACATACACATAGATTAGTATAATATTATTTAAAAAAATTATGTATGCAGTTACCGCATTGAGAAGGCAATAACGATAAAGATGTCGATAAATGTTGACCTAGAGAACAGAATTGACCATGAGAACGAGATTATAATTCATAAAAAAATAATTCATGCTGTAGATATTCATCGCAAAGCTATTAAGTTAGTATTTAAATATTTTTTATGTGCATTTTAATGAAATATATAATAATAATTACCTTTTTTTTGAAGGTTATCCCTATTTTTAATGCATAGCTTTCAAGGATCGCGTTTTCTTTTGATAATAATTAATGTGATTTGTTTAAGCCTTAATCTCTATGCAGTGAGTTTTTCTCTTTCGCATCGTTAATTTTATTTTTGGCCGAGCAATATCGCGCATTGCACGATATTGCTCGACATTTTTTTATAATCTTATCGCTGTAAAAGAATCAACTATAAAATATATATAAAGATTGAACGCAACATTGTGTTGTAGATTGCTGCAAACATATCAAATGAAGACGATTTAGAGCAATTATTAATGCATTTAATAATTACACTCGTCATATTAATGTACTTGTTTTTTATCAATTATGTTGGACAAGAAATTATGGATCATAACAATCACCTATTTTCCACCGTGTAAGAGATATTATATGGTGCTTATATATTTATCATCACGCATTAGTTTGTTAAGAACTTTAATAATTAAAATGATGCTTAGTACACTTCGCATACGCGTATGTTGAAAGTTACTAGTGCACTTTATTCAATTATCGATTTATTGCCCATTCTGTCTAGGTACGATGTTGAATGGTATATTGCACCCTTACATGTACAAAAGCTGATATTATTTCTTTTGCTAAGGGGTAACAAAACTGTCAGCCTGAATTTTGGCGGAGTGGTTTTATTATCTCTAGAGCTTTTCGCCACGGTAAAAGTTATCACTTATGCATAACGTTACATTAACGTATTATTATATAATACGCTTAACATACAGCTCGAACGAAAACTACATAAGACATATTTGATTACAGCTAACGCAAGCATCGTTATCCTACTTTACCGTTATGTATTCTATGCAATAATAACGAATGTATAGTTAAATATACGAATGTAGAATTTGTAATAGAAGTAATATATATAAGCAATTTCTTTTACACAGGAAAATAATATGTTAATCAATAAAATTTAAATATTTTTTATACATACACGTTCCTTTAAACGAATAGTAGTAGTTGTAGGATTTAAACATAAAACATCACGTAAACAAAGCTTTGCACAAATTAAATAATCCGTATCAAAAAGAGTGTCAGTTTTATTTTCTATCGATTGTGCACTGTTTAAATAGCTAAGATAATCACGCAGTTATTTAATGCCTGATAATAAATATCTATTAACTCTTGGCATCACTCGCTTGACACACTTTGCCACGTTACGCGATACTATAATAATAGATAAATGTATAATATGTGTATAACGACGTGTGCTTTTTAAAGATGTGTGCTTTAATACGACTCTGACAGTTTTTGTGTTAATTACATGCTATTAATGTGTACAAAGTTTCTATGTTGCAATTTGCAACATGTTTTGCACTTTATTAGCAAGAGAACTATGTAACTATTATCTCGGCATGTATAAGATGACATTTTTTTTTAAAAAAAGATCATATCGCACTCGATGTATATACTCGAATAAAACACATAAACTATTCAGGCTGAGAAAGGACAGGTAGGCCTGCGCAGACATCGAGCGACAAATTGTCTCAAGAATGTTTTTCTGTGAGAAATATAATGACGGTAAATATTTTTCTCTCGACGCCAATTTTATCGATCGTGTAATCGCCCCTTCGCTTTCCGAGCCGAAGACATGAAATTACGAGTGTTTCGACTACATGATATTTTGTCTACCACCTTACATTATCACTTATACTGAATTAGGCAATTTACGCTATAATTTACATTAAGAGTCGGAAATTATTATAATATACTCGGTTCTATCGACCCTTCGAAAAGGGGGGATACGCGACCCTTCGTCAACCTTCTTTCAGTCAGACGTGTCTCGACTCTCGCAAAGTGATGATCTGTATAAAGACTCGGCATTTTAGCTTGCATCGGATTCTTTTGCTCGCGATTGGCTTATGGCCTTGTCAGCGATCAAGGCTTGCTCAATTTCAACTAATTTTGTTTTTTGGTATCCTGATTAGTTTTATTATATGTCAGGTACGTTCATGTTTTTAATCGTATTTTTTTATTTATGCATAAGTATGTGTGTGTGTGTGTTTGTGCTGATTGTTGAAACTTTTAGATGTTATGAGTGTTATTGTCATATATTTATTGTTTTAATTGTTAATAATATATGATACAAATCATATATAATGTAATAATTATTAAAATTTTTTGTTTCATTATTATTCTTTATATATAATTAATCTTAGAAAAGCAGTTGATTGTATTATATATTTGCAGTTAATTAATGAAATAAAAAAGTAACTATTTTATTTTCTTAATAAATTTATTGATTGCAGTTTACAATAATTGTTACTGCAGAATTCACTCTTGATCTTGTCATTAACGTTCTCTCTGTAGGATTGTTTTTTATTATGTTGGCGATTACGTACAATTCTTTTGGGCTTAATTTTGCTGAGATGGTAAGTTAAGGAAATTTTATTTTGTTTAAACGAAATAAACATACTTGATATAAGTGAGTCTTTACGCACAACACTCCTTCCAAAAATTTACAACGAATTGTGCACTGAAGTATTATTGTGAGATGTAATAGGTAAAATATCCCTTGGAGGATCTTCAGCAGATTTGTAACGGATTAAAAGATGAAAAAGAAATTGCTATTATGAAAAAGTACGGGGACAATTTGAAACGTTATACTCTTACTATTACGTGTAAGTCAGCACATACAAACACATAAATTGTTAAATTAGCTTAATTAACCATTTCATTACTTAATACAAGTATATTTGGCTGCCTGAATGATATATATTTTGTTTTAATTATTATATAAAAAAAAACATGCATAATAAAAGCTGTATTAATCAATATTCTATCAAAAATATGCAGCGAATCTAAGCAGTGAAATGGTTAGTAGTTTAAAAGTAATTGAAACCTATTTCTTATTTATTAAATATTTGTAGTATTTTATATATGCAGTCTAATTATTATTTTGCCAATTATTTCATTGCCAATCATATCGCGGATTTTTGGCTTTGCTCTGCATATAAATGAGTCTCAATCACGTCGTATATTATATAAATGTCTGCCTAAGTATTTAGTCGACCAAGAAAACTATTTATATTTAATTTCGCTGTACGCGGATGCATCAATATTTATTGGAGGGACTGCAATGGTTGCAACAGGAATGATGCTCATTGCGTATCTTAAACATGCTTGTGGAATGTTAAAAATTGCAAGGTAAGAAGTAAAAATATAGATATAAAGTGGTAAATGTAGGAATAAATAAACAAAAATTAAACAAAATATTGTTTGATGTTATTTCTTCTTTAAAATAGATTTGGTAATAATAGATTTAGAGGTGGAAAAAGAAATTTTGCTATTAGCAACATTGTTGCATATTCGATGCTGAAGTGATTAAACTTTATTTTTAGAGAATTATTCAATACTAAAGCAAAATGTGATTTGTTGGTATAATAAAAAGATTTTGTTTGTAAAAACATACAAATTTGCTGTTAAAGAAAAATAATCCATTTTTAGTAAATGCATTTTGCTTTGCAATAAAACTTGTTTCAATGACAGAATAAGAATTAATTATTTGTTCTGAAGTTTATGCAATTTAACACAAAATAACATGCGGTTTCAATAAAACTGTTTTTAGCAAATTAGTATTTTAACTGACGAAATTTTTATTACGGGAACATAAAATACATTGTATCACCAAATTTTTTTCTCTATATGAGAAATCAGTATAACTGCAGTAAAAATACTTTTTATAGTTATCGCATAGAGAAAGCAATAAATATGCAGAACAATGTTTGCCCAAAAAACGAAACTGCAATGTATAAAGGAATAATTTATGCCATAGATATTCATCGTATAGCTATGAAGTTAGTATTTCTTTAACAATAATTATATAAAATATATATAAATATAATATTTTTTTTTTGTTGAAGGTTCTCCACATTTTTATTTTCCTATCTTCATTTATCACATTTCTTTTTAATAATAGTCGGTGTGATTTGTTTGAGTCTGAATCTTTACGCAGTGAGTTTTTCTTGCGTTGTGAAATTTATTTCTGAACCAACGACATAGCATTTCGTAATCATTTTTATTAGGGGGGACAAAAAAAAACATTTTACAAAATCTCTGTATAAAGAGAGAGCAAAATAATGTATAAACCCAAGGAAAGAAAATTTTCGTGTTTATGTAAATAATTCTAGTTCTTTATCTATTTTCTCTGATATATATCAAGTGTTAATTGCGACATTGTGTTTTAGATATCTGAGATGGTGTTGCATGGAGGCAACGTCGACCAGTTTCTGCTTCATTTTCTAATTGTAACTGTCATTTTTTTATACTTATTTTTTGCTAACTATGCCGGTCAAGAACTTACGGATCACAATAACGACGTATTTTTCACCGTGTAAGAAATATATGATGCTCACAAAAAAAGCTTATGCCAGTAAATTGTTTACGGACTTGGGTCATTATCCGATATTTATTAATAAAAATTATCTGTCATGTTTCGTAAAAGGCATATACACATATGTTGAAAATTATTACACATTTTCTCTAATAATAGATTTATTACCTAACTATTGTCTTGTAGATACAATGTTCAATGGTACGCAGCACCTTTGCATATACAAAGGTTGATACTGTTTCTCTTGCAAAGGGGTAGCAAAGCTGTAAATCTGAATCTTGGCGGCGTGTCTGTATTATCTTTACAGTTTTTCGCCACGGTGAGAATATAATTATACGCGTTATATGAAATAATAATTATATAGAATTATAATATATAATTATATAATAATTATAAGTTACATTAAATAGTACGAATGTATAAACATCTCTACATAATACTTGACAGACAAACATAATGCAAGACATATTTGATTCCAGTTAACGAAGGCGTCGATATCCTACTTTACCGTTATGTATTCTACGCAGCAATAATGCAGATATAAGTCATCCGATAATATATGTATAATAGTAGCATAAGTAAATATAAAATGCAAATGCCCGATTTCTTTGCTGTTATAACAGCGCTAATATTGTTTTCTATGCATTGCACCGCTTGAATGATCGAAAAACAATCTCATATAGTTACTTAATTTCAGTTATTTAATAGTATATAGTAAATATATAAATATATAAATACATATAGTAATATAGTAATATAGTAAATATATAAATAAAATGATAAGAAATAAATATGCTGCAAGATTGTACAGTTAGACGAACAAACAATGAGTCGACAAACGAGTCCAAATGCGTTTCCATTAAGCGTACTAAAGCTCAACCATCGAGATCTGCTGATGTAAACAGGCGGATACATGTATCCTCCCTCTCGCGTATCGCATTTGCCATTTTTCACGGGAAACGGTAAACGCGTTTACGATGACGATGAAAGAATGATCAGACGCGTAAAAGCGACCGATAGGAAAAAGGCGTCGCGTTGTGTGTAAAATAAACTACGGGTAAAAAAAAAAAGAGAGAAAAAAAATACGCATCAACGAACTCGTATTCGTTGTACAAACTCGGCGACACGACCGGGCTCGCGTTGCTTAACGAGTTTCGAACCGGTTTACATTAGTCATCCCCTTTTAACTTTCAACTTTTGCACGGAGAGAGCGCCGAAAGCGCGTTTTATGCGCTTTCGGTCCATCTTTCATTCTCAATCTACTTTGAGAGAAAGACAAAGAGTTTCCCCCCTCCCTTATCGTTTTTTTCACCGTTTTCCCCGCATCTTTTTCATTCCCCTTTTCCGCTTGATGCCAAAACAGTTTTGCCAGACCACCCGACGTTTCTATCACTATTTTCTTCGTTTCACTTTGGTATTTAATCAATATACATATATTTTATTTCTTCTTTTTTATTACTGCAGCGATTCAATTATGGGGATGTATGGGAATTTCTATGGATTAACCTTTCGACGAGACAATTCGAAAAATTGTATGATAAAAAATGGGACAAAAGAATATAAATCTTTTAGAGGACCAGTTTTTTGTATCATTTTCATTTTTCAGTTCTTTAAGTTGTTTACTAATGATTTTCTCTCCTTTTTCAATAAAAAGAGATGTTGATAAACATATATTGATAAAAACAGTTGTAATCGACTTTGTACAGTATTCAATTATGCTTCAAAAATGCATGTCGTATAATCATTAATCTTATATAAATATATCTTAATCACGTAACATACACAGACATAAAGTGTTATGAGTCGCTATTAATGAATAAAGCCTTTGCGAGGCGAAGAGTAGCGCGAAGATTTCAAGATTCTCTCGCTTCTAGCGTCATCAAATATGTAACAACGTGGCCGACTTTACGGGCGTCTTAATATATTCTTTCGGGGCACGGTTTAGCGACTAGGCGACTAGGTCCTATTCATGCGTGAATGTGTATTTATCGCGAGTAGCATATCTTACAGAATCGTTCTCTCAATGGTTAGACCAAAAAAAAAAAAAAAAAAAAAAAAAAAAAAAACGCGAGAGTGTGCGACTCGCGAAAATATGTGATGGCCCGGGAAAAACGAAATGGAACGATATAACGAGACTCGCGCGGTATTAATAACCGTGACTCGGTGTAAACAAATGGATTTCCTGTCACAACTCGTATGGAAAGTGCACCGTTATGCATTCGTAAAAATTGTCATGCGATGTCGCGCTGAAGCGGTGCATGTTTTGCTTCATTAATATTTTTTTCGAACAGTTTCTATATAAAAAGTGCAGTTGCTACATAGGCACATTGTAAATTGTCAGCTCTCGTGAAAAGGCAAATTTTGTTGAAATATCAAATATTCGATACTAAAGTATGAAAAATTGATTAAAATTTGAAATATGTATTGAATGACTGTGAAGGTGTGTGTATATTAATTATTAAAATTTGATGATATTATGTGTAATTAAATAAGTTGGTCAAGGTAAAACATTTATTATTTATGGAACTATAATTATAATTATAATTATTACGTTTATTAATATCAGTAATTTTAACAGCTAATGCTATCATTGAAAAGCTGAACTTTATTAAGATATCTTTGCTTAGTGTTATTATATCGAAACTGACAAACAGAATTCACAATTTGATAATTTTCAAATTATTTCGAAATATAAAAAAATTTTTAACGGGAGTTACATCTTACTAATTATTAATCAAACTACATAATATAAAGTAATTCAAACTTTTTAAACAGAAAATCTGTGTAAGAAGTTACAATTCACTTATGCATCTGTCTAAAGGGGATGTAATTCAGTGTCTGCCTTTATTCTGCTTCTATCTTTTAAGAAACAAAGTGCAAAAAGATTAAAGGATATTTTTCCAACATCTGTCACTTTTTAACTTCTTTATTAAAAACGGCGAAACATTTTCGTCCTTTCTCCACGGAAATACGGGAAGGGTGTGATGTCTCATTTCTAATATTACAGAAATCTACCGTAGTGCGTGCCGATTCATTCGGATGTGCCTGCACGGGGGATGGGGCAGGATTTTACCTACACAAGAAATTTCTCTCGCTCTTTTATCTATCCGAAACACGTTACACGCATCGCTGATCAGTATGAACAAATGGATCCATGATAGCTGTCAACTTTTTAAGGTGATTTTTTAGACTCATCTAGCAGAGCGTGTTCTTTAAAAGGGATGGTGAGAAATTCACTGTGTATTTAACAATATATATATATATATATTATCAATGCGTTCTTTATTGCTCGAATTTTCCTCCAGATTGGTTCAACAAGAAGCATGCGCATCACACGAATGCGACGCACATTCGGGCGCGAATTCTTTTCTGCGAGGGATGTCCATCACTCATTCCGCATTTTCTCTCTCTACTCGGACGTAAAAACTTTCACGAACGAACTGTCAGGGAAGTCAACGTTTTGTGCCCTTTAATATTAGCAGTAATACACGTGTGCGACATCGCTCGCGGTTTGCAAAGTTCCTTTCACGTCGATGCGACTTGTGCGTGCGCTCTTAACGTAACGTCACTTTAAATATATGAGAAAGAAAGTGCAGGTGGATTTTTTTTTTAAATAATATTCTCTCGCGGCTGTTTCCATGTCGTTAATTTATCAAGCTCTAATCTATAGCCCGTAATTATATACAGAGCGAAACATAAATTCCAATTTAAATTTTAATGATGAATTCGAGTCGATCAATTTGGATTAGCAAGCATATTGACACATCGAAGGGGGTTTTTAAGAGGAAAATTAAGAATTGAGATGTCACATCTTCTTCATTAAGCATACTTAAGCATTTTGAATTATAAAAATTTTGATCTCTCAAAAATTATTTATTAATCGTACCAAGGAATCATCGCTCTCTTTCTCTCTCTCTCTCCCTCTTTTTCATCGCGTTTGTGGTTCTCCCGACCTTCCCGCGAGCTAAGAATTGATCGAATAAATTTCAGAGGCTCATCCGGTCATCCATAGTCGACTCAATACCGTACCCGGTACGATACATGTGTGTATATCCTATCCAACTCTATTTTGTCGCTATCCAATCACGATCCCATTCGATGTGTTTCCGTCTCGATCTCGATCGTCTCTTCTGAAGTACGTTTCTCTTTTCCTGATCCTCGGGGCTCTTGGTCCACCTCTGCTCAAACCGACCCTCTAGCTTTAGCCCAATATCTCTCTTTACCGCTCTATATCTGCCGTCAAATCAGGGAGGGAATAGACATCGCGCGATGATGTAACAGATCTATTTCGAAGAATTTGTAAAACTTTATAATCCTTTTTCTCTCTTAGTTTTTATTGTATATTACTTTCACTTTATTGAGATATAATTTTTTTTCCGATATATTATAAGTTTTTTTTTCTAATTTATTATTATAAATTTTGATGAGCGGAAAATCAAAATTTTTTTGAATTATGGAGAGATTAAACGATAAGAATTTTTATCTTTTTAATATCACTAATACCACTTGTTCATAAAATTTCTTGCCGATTTTATTATTAGCAAACGAAATTCCACGAGCAAAATAAACGTAATTTATGCCCTCATTATTGCCGCGCTTCATTATGCTTACCGTTTCGTTTCCGACGAATTTAATTTATCTCATCACGCTCGTGTCTCGACGAAATTTTGCCGCGCGAATGTTGAGTAATTGCGCATTGTACGATTGTACCTCCTCCGCTTAATCCGACGCGCACGACGCTTTCCGCGGATTTTTGCGAAGCATTGCGGGGAATTGTATCCGCGCTTAAATTTTCTCGTCAGCCTGAAAGCTCCCTTGATTTAATTCGATTAGCGTCGTTCGTAACTGAGTTTACAGAGGAGGAGAACAAGCCGTCATGTGTGGAAAACATGATTTACCGAAGCGAATCATAGTTACCTAGCGCACTCACTCGTTGGATATCCGTCATCGAAAATATATTACACGCATGTTTATTCAGCGAAAGAGACGCTGCGTTTATACGAGATTGAGAATTGCAAAGTTTCAGAACGTTACAGGAAAAAGAAAGTATTTATTTATCTTCTATAGTTTTGATTACGAAGGTGATAATTAAAGAGTGCCGAAAAATGATCACTGTACATTTTTATTACAGAATGTTGAATTCGACATTCTCATTGCTAAATTGCTAAAGGAGAGAGAGAGAGAGAGTAACAAAGCACTTTAGTAGCTACAGCTGCTAAATTTTCCTCAGTCCGTCATGTTCCTTTGAAACCCAGCCGAAAGCGATTTTGCTACGCGTGTTCGGGCACGTATAGTGATCGATGCCTGGCCAATCGTATATTGGCCGTGGACGGTGGTTCGCGCGGGGGAAAAGGGAAATGAACGCAGAAAGAGGCAGAGATAGAGAATATGAGCGAGAGGGTGACCGTGCCCCGATAGATTCCGATGGCATTATACATATATTGGGAGCGGAAAGGCCCGGAGGGCTCTTTGTCGCGCGCGCGGTTAGAACGAGGAACAAAGGATACCGAAAATTAGTTTATTCCCTGATGGCCGCCGATAGAATTATCAGGTATATCCGCCCGGGGTTCCGCCTCGCGAACGTATCATTTAATTTCATTCTGCCACGCTGCAACGAGGGTCGACAAAATTCTCATCCAAGGTACACTCGTATCATCGCGCGACTTATGCACTGGGATTACCACGTGGCTGGCCCAGTTTTCATATGGAATAATAGAACGCGTTAATTCTAGTATGCATACAG